TGTGTGTGTGTGTGTGTGTGTGTGAATCTCCTCAAACTGCACCATGAATAAGTCTGGGTAGCTGTGTGTGTGTGTTGGCGTCACTGTGTGTGGGTCATGTCAAGTAGAATATGCAGTATTCAGCAGCTGTGGTGGACTGGCCTCCTCTGTGGACGTGTCTCGTCTTGTCCTCTCAGATCAACTGGAGTCTTTGCGCCAAACCTACCAGCAGGGCTGTTGTAGACTGAGGCTCCCCTTACATAGTTGTACTTAATGGGATCCACCTATTTATTAAAGGTTTAAACACATGTGATTCACTCAGGTGAGGCGACAGTGAGTGAGTAAGTAAAAACTCCTTGGACAAGAGGGTGCATGTTTCTTCAGTAGCCAGCACTTTCACAGTCAACACTCTATAAGGAAAGTTCTCACGAATATTGCTCAAGTGATTGTTTGCAAATCTGACCATTTGTTTTCAGGATGGTTGAGATTTATTAATGCTTTATGAAGGCAAATATGGTTAGTTCAGCAAAATGTTCACATTTGCAATATTAAACATCAAGTATGAGTAAGGCATTGAATGATGGTGACTTTACACTGCACCATAAATAAAGGGTAGGTTCCCTGAAACATATGATGTATAACACTTGATACTGAATGAAACAATGTGCTCGTATTTGGCAAAATTATAAAAGAACGACAGTTATTTGATTTCCTGTGTAGATTATAGAGGCTTAGATAGCAAACAATAGCTTTTTTGGTATAAATATGGGGAATTAAAGGAAGTAAAAGGAGAATTAATATACATTTGTTAATTGGGTGTTTACCTTCCACTGCAACATGCTATTTGTATTTTTTTTTATCAGAGTACGAGTTACCTTGGAGGGCATAAAGGACAATGTAGGCCCATCATATTTCAAACCCCCAGCTACTGTCACATTTTGTCAGGAAAATGAAATAACCAATAATAAGTGGAGATGGTATTGATTGAGGGGAATTTTTGTAACGGCAAGTTAGGATCTTATGAGAACAGTAGCATGTCATCTGTGTAAAGACTGACTGATGACTTGATCAACAAGTGTTGCTTTAGAGAAGTACTCCGGAGTAAAAACACTCATTTAAAATATATATAACTGGTGTTTCTTCTTTTTCTCAGGTGCTGTGAGTGACATCAGTCCATATATAAAGCATTATGAGGGTTTGTCATACGACAGAGAGGATCTTCACAGGATGCACTTGAGAAGCAAGAGAGCCACACAACCTCAGGAATACACACTGCAGCTGGATTTGACTGCTTTTCACAGGTAGCTTTATATTAGTCTCACATAACTGGACAGACATTTCATTGATAAACAAATGGTGATTCTGTTTTTAACCCAAATACAGATGTGGACGATTAGTCAGTGATTAATCCATTGAGCTGTTTACAAGTCTACATACCTTTCACCACAGTACAAAGCTTTCACCACAGATGTTTGTGTTTTTGTTTCCTCTCAGAACTTTCCGTCTGCGTTTGAAACGAAGTTCAGCAGCATTTTCCGAGAATTTCATGGTGGTCATCGAAAATGGCTCCACATCTGCTGACCTCTCCCACTTATACTCAGGAATACTGGAAGGTTGGTGCAACAGATGAGCTGCATTTAATTCAGTTCAAAGTAAAATTCACAGGACTTCAAGTGATGATATGTGATGATCAGATGATAATAAAATCATTTATAACCGGAATGGTTCAAAACAAACAACTAGATTGAACATTTGGATCATTTGGATAAAGTCCTGTTTACTCATTATAGTCACTTTTTTCTTGTCTTGCCTCATATGTCACCTCTTATGTCTCAGCCCTGACTACAATCTCTACCATTCTCTTAGTATCTTATCTAGTTACTCTGTGCGTCTGACTAATCTCTTCTCCCTGCTCATTTCCCACCTGTCTGTCTGACCTGTTGTCTCTCTCGACCTGGTCTTACAGGTGAACATGGTTCAGTCTGCCATGGCTCTGTGTTGCAGGGTCAATTTGAGGGAACCATCCACACAGACAACGGGACTTATCACATAGAGCCTGTCTACAGATACACCAGCAACCAAACAGATCACCACTCTATAATCTACCATGAGGATGACATGGGTAAGACAACTTTCATTTTTCCACTGCGGGGGGGACTTCAGAACATGTTGCCTCAGCAAACATTTTCATGCTTCTTTTGGCATCTTAATAACTTTAAACTGCTCCCCAGTGTCCAGAATATAAAAAAAAGAAACTCTGGATCTGTTCTGGCTGAAATTCTCCAAATGACAACCCATGACCCAACTGCTTTTCCTGGCTGTTCTGTGATGATGGCAAGAGCACAAGAAGAAATTCCATGCTACAATAGATCTCCCCCAACATTTTGATTCACAGCCCCCTTGATGCTTTTGTGGAAACTACCACTACAGTATATATCTAACCCTCATTGATCCACTTTCTCACACAGTTTCTGCAGCTGCTGCTCCAGCACATACAAAGGTTACCACGTGGCCTCACTCTTAACTTGTAGTAAGAGTGCAGTTATAATTTCACAGAGCCTATTTAGAGCTCTGTGGGGGGTGTTGGTTTGGACTCACAGTGGGCACCAGCCAAAGAAAAGATAAACTGAGGATAGGGTGACTTTTGAAAGGGGAGGGGTGGGAGAAGTAGGGGGCTAAAAAAAGAACAAGACGAAACAGGAGGAGAAGGAAGAGGTTCAGTATGAGGAGATGATTTTCTACAGGGAAAGGAAATTGAAATGAAAATGAAATTATGATGGTTAATGATTTGGCCAGATGGTAAAAATCACTGAGATATCTCAAAATGTTTCTTGTGTTTTTCAAAGTGCCTTTTTCCTTGGCTGCGCGGACACATTTGCATCAGAATTCCAAAATTTCCAAGAAATCTTTTTCGTGGAAACAGGGTGCAGATTGTGCCAAAAACACCCATCCCCACCCCACTGTGTTTGTCTTACGTCCCCACAGACATAGTGACTGCCTCCCTCCCTTCCTCCCTGTACCCCTGCCATTTATTCAACCCCTTTCAGAACCGTAGCAAAATTTAACATTGCATAACGCTGCAACTGACAACATCCTGTTCTTTCATTCACTGACCAGCGTATCTGCAGGAAACTGTGAAAGATCAGGCAGATTATATTTCAATTAACAATCAATGCTTCCATACAAAGTGCTAAACTGAGACCAATCCTGTGTATGTTTTCACTTCCTTAAAGTTAAATAAAGAACCTTCAGTCCACTGGGACAGAGGATGTCAAGAGGCTTCACTGATGTCACACTTACAAAAAGACAGATACAAAAGATCTAGTTCAACAATAACTTTAAAGATACAATTCATTTATTTATTTATTGAAATGTAAAAATAAGACTTGAAACACACATGGAAAACAAAAATTACTGATTTGAGTTAGTAAAAGTGTGAAAAAGAGCAAACTGATCACAGAGGTGGCCAAACGTTTTTGAAGCCTGTTTCATTGTGCTCCACACAGAGTCAGTGTGTGAGTGTGAGTGTGTGTTTGTGTGTGAGAAAGAGAGACCTAATTCAAACCCAACTTCATGTGACTTTCCCTCTTCACATGTCTATAAAAGTTTAAGTATTAACCTCACATCTCCTTGAGGTAAGTGTACTTTAAAATCATCAGTTCATGTTTAACTACTAACATATTAATTACTTCCCTAACTGAGAGTGAACTAACCACCAGTGAACTTGTGTGTGATGCAGTTCTATCTTCCTCATGTGTTGGGCCCCTTTCTGAACATTTCATGTTAAGGTTTCATTAGATTTCACATGTATACATTTGAGAAATGTCTCGGGTGAACACTGTTCTTAGCATTATAGTGAAAAAGACACAGCTGTTCCAGTTCCTGCACACAGAAATCTGGGAAAGTGCCCGGAAAAAATTGAACTCATGAAATATCTCACCAAGTGTCTGAATGATGAAGGGCAGATCAGAGATTCCATCCCCATGTTCTCCTGGTGCACATAGATGATTACACAGAGGAAGGGAGAGGAAGATATCTATGATGAACTCAGTTTTGTTCCAAGTTTTGGTTTAGGGTTATCTGGCATTTTTCAACCCACCAAGGGGCACTTGAGGGCATTTGGCACCTGGGCCAAGCTCAAGGTGGCTTGAAGAACACACTTGCTCTACATTCATGAGGCAGTTATTGGCAGAAACTGTAAGACAAACATTGAGGTGTCATTTTATAACACACACACACACACACAGACGGGTTGGAAAATACTTCTCTTTTTAGCCAAAGCAGTGCCAGAGTTGTGTCTACCCCCCAAGAAACAAAACTGTGCAACTATAACAATGGAAATCTGCTCAAGAGTGAGATTGAAAGTGTCATATATGCATGTGTGTGGTGAGATTGTAATTTTGTGTTGCTGGGGCGCCCGTTCATAACTGTGTCATACTCAAAGCTCCCTGCTAGACGGAGACCTGAGGCTCTGGCAGACCTTTTCTACATTACTCTCAACGGTTGAACTCGTTTCCAGCATTTGGAATGTGACACTAATTTTTTATCTGGGAAAATCCTTTTCTCTTCTTGGCTTGTGGTCGTGCAGCAGTTTGTCCTGTCAAGAGGCTCCACATTCACGTCACTTACAGACATATTCTCTGCTCATTCCATTGGGAAAAAAATGAATAAATGATCGTGTCTTGTTTCTACTTTGGCAACACAGGGCAGGAACATTTATGTCCCATAGTGTGAGACCGAGTGTCATTGGCAAACTGAGAGAAAAAGAGAGAGAGTGAACTTGGGCTTGCAGAAAGGTCTGGAAATAATTCCATCAGTGGGTCGACGCCCGGCATTTAGGCCTCCATACACCCCCACACAGCCCACCCCCACTCATGCCATGTAAAGAACGAATTGTAGGGTTGTGATTGGCTGAAGGACTTTTGGTTGGATGGTCTGATCCAATCGTGTGTTGTAGTTTTTCACTTTCTCTCTGCAGGCTCATGTCTGATGCAGGGAGATGTGACCAGTGACAGTGTTGCTTGCACGCACACACACACAC